GAGTCAATAAAGGTAAGTGTGATGTTAAATGTTCATTTATCCATTTTATTAGTGCTTTATATTTATTTTTCATTGTTTTCTGTATGTTTATTTATATTAATTTAAAAAAAAAATTTTGTTTTTTTTTGTTAATACTTTTGGCTGTCTGAAATGATTAACCCTTTCAGGGTCTGTCCCATAGATCTACGGCTTCACGTTGAGTGTCCAAACCGTAGATCTACTCCAAAATTCTAGCGCTGTCAAATTTAGCGCGAAAACGCTCATAGGCCTACATGTGAGAGAACGGGTCTGCGTGGTGGGTGTGCGCCATAAGCAAAAAATCTAGGCGCCCGCATAGCATTGTGGGAACGCTGGCTCAGTTACCCTGTTCACCATGCCTCATTGCAAGGCAGCTCTCACTCCAAGGAAAATTCGGACTCTCCTGTTCCTATCTGATAGTTCTGACAGTGATGGAAGTGGAAATGAAGATGAATTCTTTGGCTTTGATCAGTTAGTGACCGAAAGGAATGAGCAGGATATCAATAATAGTGCAGTAAACCCTGACAATCCTCAACCTTCTACCTCTGGTGTGGGCACTCGTCAGTCATGGTCGGTTGTACCTCAACGCAAGAGAAAACTATTATTTTTGCGTGGCCAGGCCTCTGACTTCAGTAATGATGATGATAGTGACGTGGATTGTGATTTTATTGCTCTTGACGATCATTCGAGTAGTGATAGTGAGGAATCATATTCACCAGTGAAGCATCGGTATGTACGCCGCCGCATGCGCTTGGGTAGTGTACTCTATGCCGTGCCCAGGGGATGGAGTACATCCCGGAGTACATCCTGTGGCCCTACACCAAGTATAGATAGTGATAGTGAGGATGATGTGGCTACACTTGGCATGGATAGACCACAGGCATCACTAGATGGTGGTAGTGGTGATGGTAGTGCCACAGCCATGTGTGACTCACCAGCCCAGGCTGGGACCCACGCTGCTGACTCTGCAGTTCAAGGACAAAGCAGTGTGTCAGCCACCAGCCCACCACAACCACAACTACCCGCACAACCAGCCTATGATGTCCAGTATCCACCAGCAAACCGTATCTGGGATTGGCAGCAAAATCCCAATTTTGTTCCCAAGCTCCACCACTCTGATGACTCTCAAAGTGGAATTCTACCAACTTGTCCCCTTGGAAACACTGCAAATGAACTGGAATTCTTTGAACTATTCTTTGACCAGCCATTGATGGAAACTATTGTCAGGGAAAATAATAAGTATTTTGAGTACACCATGGCAAATACGATCATATCACCACAGTCAAGACTACACAGGTGGAAAGAGACTACTGTTGCAGAAATGTATTTGCTTTTTGCAACAATATGAGCATAATATAAAAGCATACTGGTCCACAGATCGGCTAATTTCTACCCTGGTCTTCAGTGAAATCATCCCAGTGAACAGGTTTATCTTACTGTTACGTATGTTGCACTTCTCTGACAAAACCAGGCCTGACAGAAGTGACAGGTTATACAAGATTAGAAATGTTTTTATGTATCTCAAACAAAAGTTCAGCATGTACTTTTATCCATTCAAGAATCTTGTAATTGATGAGTCTTTGATTTTGTTCAAAGGTATGCTGTCATTCAAGCAGTACAGTGGACCCTCGACATTCGATACTAATCCGTTCCTGAGAGCTATCGAATGTCGAAAATATCGAAAGTAGAATTAATTTTCCCCATAAGAAATAATGGAAATCAAATTAATCCGTGCAAGACACTCAAAAGTATGGAAAAAAAATTTTTACCACATGAAATATTAAGTTTAATGCAATAGAATAATTAAAACAACAACACTAACAATAGATTAATAACAATAGAATAATTGGCACTTACCTTTAATGAAGATCTGGTGATGATTGATGGGATGGGAGGAGGGGAGAGTGTAGATGGTGTTAGTGTTTAGAAGGGGAGTCCCCTTCCATTAGGACTTGAACTGGGAGCCTCACCATGCCTTACCACGCCTTACCACACTGTGTATGCCACTACGATTCTTAAATCTTTCAAACCAACCATTGCTGGCCTTAAATTCACTCACATCACTACTAGTTGCAGGCAATTTCTTTACCAAATCATCATGCACTCCGACACACGCACTCCACTTTCGTACTTTGCAATTATCTCTCTTATCATTTCAATAGTCATTAGCACCTTTTTTCTCAAAGGGTTGGCACTAGAAGCTTTCTTGGGGGCCCATGGTTACTTACTTTGCAGAAACAAGCACCAAAAACAGTGATAATATGGATAATATGGAATGCACCGAATGTATCCTTAGATGCGCGCACACTGGCTGGCTTGTAAACACTGGCACACATGGGGCAGTTCAGGCCACATGTGGACACGTCTCGTACGAATCGTATCGAATGTCAGGTTTTCCATCGAATGTTGAGGCAAAATTTTTGCGTTAAAATGCATCGAATGTCGGATTTATCGAATGTCGGATTTATCGAATGTCGAATGTCGGATTTATCGAATGTCGATGCCATCAAATGTCGGGGGTCCACTGTATATACCGAGCAAGAGGAAACGCTTTGGTATAAAACTGTTTGTACTCTGTGACTGTGACAGTGGGCTGGTATTGGATATTGTTGTATACACAGGAAGTAAAACATTGAAAGATACCAAGATGTTATTGGGTATCTCAGGTGACATAGTGAGAAGCATGATGGCACTTTATCTTGGTAAGGGGCATACATTATATACCGATAACTGGTACACAAGCCCATTACTCAGTGATTTTTTGCGAATGAACAAGACAGATGTGTGTGGCATAGTGCGTTCTAATCATAAACAAATGCCCAGGCTCAACGCAGGTGCTCGTGGTGATGACGTTCAGGTGTTTACTGCCAATGAGATCATGGCATTACGGTGGCATGACAAACGAGATGTCACATTGTTGACAACCATTCACCATAATGAAATGCAAGACAGTGGCAAAGTTGATCGAGTGACTAATGAACATATCCGAAAACCAGTGACAGTGATTGATTATGCACAAAACATGCGCTTGGTTGACAAATGTGACATGCAGATTGACTTTGTTGATTGTGTTCGTAAGAGTTACAAGTGGTACATGAAACTTTTCTTCCATTTCATAGACATTTCAATGCTCAATGCATATAATATGTACCAAATGAAGACTGGCAACAGACCACCGTATGGTGAATTTTGTTTGTCTGTTGTCAGACAACTCATAATGAAGTACCAGGTAACAACACCTGCTATACAACACGGTCCTCTAATTCCTCAGGATATACCCAAGCGTTTGAGGAGGGAAGGTGACCATTTCATAATACAGTTTCCTTCAACTCAGAAGAAATTTGCTCAAAAGAGATGCATCGTCTGTGCACAAACAAAACGACAGCAACAAAGACGCAAAGACACTCAGTTTATGTGTGAGGAATGTAAGGTGCCTCTGTGCATGGTGCCTTGTTTCAAGGAGTTCCACAAGCTCCAGCAGTTCTAAAACCATGTCCAGTGATTGTAAATATGTAAATATATGATAGAACATTAGTATTATACAATATTTGTGCATGTTTATTGTAATAAACAACAGTGGTAAACAATAATATGATAATAACTTTAGTGCAGTTATTGTGTTCAATACAGTGAGTTTATATACATTATATACAGTATTGGTCTCTCAGGCCCCAAATGTTAGTAGGAAAAGAAAAAAATTAGAAAAGAAAAGAAAAAAACTACAAAAAACGGTAAATAAAGTAATGTGCGTATGTGGAAATCGTCGCTGTTGCCACCAACACGTCATTTGGGGTCAACTTCTTTGCACTGTATCTCGGTAAGTACTGATCAGAATTTTTTTTTTGTCTTATTACCTTCACAAAAATATACTCTTTAATTCTGTAAGAAAAAATAATTTTTTTTTTTTTTTTTCAAAATTTCTTGGACACTGGAGCACCACTTTCAGATTTTGGCCTTGGGCCCTGAAGGGGTTAATTGGATTTCCATTATTTCTTATGGGGAAAATTAATTCGGCTAAGGGCAAAATCGGTTAAAGGCAAGCTCTCTGGAATGGATTAATGCCGTTACCCTAGGGTTCACTGTATTAGTCAGAGGGCTGTAGAGGGGTTGTTGAGGTGGTTTGGTTATTTAGAGAGAATGGATCAAAGTAGAATAACATGGAGAGCACATAAATCTGTAGAGGAAGGAGGGCGGGGTAGGGGTCGTCCTCGAAAAGGTTGGAGGGAGGGGGTAAAGGAGGTTTTGTCGGCGAGGAGCTTGGACTTCCAGCAAGCGTGCATGAGCGTGTTAGATAGGAGTGAGTGGAGACGAATGGTTTTTGGGACCTGACAAGCTGTTGGAGTGTGAGTAGGGTAATATTTAGTGAAGGGATTCCGGGAAACCAGTTATTTTTATATAGTCGGACTTGAGTACTGGAAATGGGAAGTACAATGCCTGCACTTTAAAGGAGGGGTTTGGGATATTGGCAGTTTGGAGGGATGTGTTATATATCTTTATATATGCTTCTACACTGTTGTGTCTGGGCACCTCTGCAAAAATAGTGATTATGTATGAGTGAAGTGAAAGTGTTGAATGATGATGAAAGTGTTTTCTTTTTGGGTATTTTCTTTCTTTTTGGGTCACCCTGCCTCAGTGGGAGATGGCCGACTTATTGAAAGAAAAAAATATGTACAAACTTGATGACAATGATGCTGTAAGCTGTTTATTTGTTATTAATATTACATGCAATATGCATTCAACTCACTTGTTTTTGTTACTCGTGTTTTTCATTTAGGGGTGACATTTTCTAAAAAGATATTGAAATGAAAGGTCATTTCTTTGCTTTTAGGCAAAAGTTCATCTGATTAAGGTACAGGAATATTACGTTGTAAAAAAGTTATAGCCCTAATGCTCATATAGCTGAAGGGAGGCCATAGGATGTAACTGTTGATATAAATAGAAAAATTAATAAAACTAATTTGGCTAATTTTTGTGCTTAACAGGTGCCAATTGTGAAATTAACGGACAGTGAAACGGATGTTAAGGTAGATATTTCTTTCAATATGAGCAGTGGTGTGAATTCTGCACGTCTCATCAAAGAATTTAAACACCGCTTCCCTGCCCTGCCCAAGCTAGTCATGGTGCTCAAGCAGTTTCTTCTCCAGAGGGACTTGAACGAGGTTTTCACAGGCGGAATATCCTCGTACTCTCTCATCCTTATGACGGTTAGCTTTTTACAGGTGGGTAACCATGTGGCTGTCACCTTATACATTATGCAGTAGTTTTCTCTGTTTTAACCAGAATACTTAACCCTTAAACTGTGGGAGATTTGCATGATATGGGTCTCATGGGCCACAAAAGTTATTGGAAAATGTAAAAATTAGAAACCCACAGAAAAAAAAAAAAGGCCCTCCCTCTACCCCCCCCCCCCCCCAAAAAAAAAAAAAAAAAAAAACGATGTGGAGCACATGGATGTTGCCAATGTTGCTTTCAGTGGGTCATCTGCTTTCATATTGTTCCTTCTTATCTTGATAAGTGCTGATGGGAAATTTTATTTTGTTTCATTATCACTACAAAAATGTAATCTTTTATTTATTAAGATTTTTTTTTAAATGCCATGAGCACTTTTAATTTTGGGGCTTCCAAAAGTGAATGGGTTAAAACAGGACTCAAGGTAGGTGAAATTGCTGTTGTAAATTGTGCCCAAATCGCCAATTTTGTGCCTGCATAATTCTGTAAGTTTTCCATCAAATTTTGCATTTTTGGTGTCATTACTTTCATGAAAGGGTTCTCTACCATTTCAGAAGAAAACTAATTCTCTCTTTAAATTCCCATCATTGTCAGCAGTTTTAATTTTGGGGGTCCTGACAGTGAAGGTTTTAATGAAAAGAGGGAAGGTTGCTTTAGTAGCTAGAATGCCTACAGTGTTTGTTTTGGGCTCTGTTTTTAAACTGGGTAGTTCTGATGTTTGAATGGGCAATTTGTGGCAGTCAGTAGCTAGCAAGGAAGGCATACTATTGAAGTAGCCAGGATTTCAGTACTACTAGAATTGGCCTAAAATAGGCCTCACAGTAGGTGAAATTGCTGTTGTACAGAGTGCTCCCTGACCATTAACTTTGTGCCTGTTTAACCCTTTGAGGGTCCAAGCTGTAGATCTGTGCCTTGTCCACAGGGTCCAAGCTGTAGTTCTACGCCATGAGCTCAGCTTACTCAGATAAGCTGTGAGTGGTAAATTTGGGTCTAGATATGAGAGAATGGGTCTGTGGTAAGTGTGCACCATGTAAAACAAATCCTGCAGCATGCAGTGCATAATGAGAAAAAAACTGCAACTAGGTTTTTAGATTAACCCTTAACCCTTTGACTGTCGCGGCCATATATATACGTTTGCGAGGTACCGTGTTTGACGTATATATACTCATAAATTCTAGCAGCTTCAAATCAGGCAGGAGAAAGCTAGTAGGCCCACATGTGAGAGAATGGGTCTGTGTGGTCAGTGTGCACCACATAAAAAAAATCCTGGAGCACGCAGTGCATAATGAGAAAAAAAAAACTCCGACCGTTTTTTTTAATTAAAATGCCGACTTTGTGGTCTATTTTCGTATAGTATTTGTGGTTGTTTTCTCGTTTTCTTGGTCTCATTTGATAGAATGGAAACTATATTATGAAATGGAGGTGATTTTGATTAATTTTACTATAAAAAGTACCTGGAAATGGAGCACAAAGTACAGGAAATGTTTGATTTTTGCCGATGTTCAAAAGTGAACAAATGATGTCATTGTCCAATAAATGTCCAAATAGCCATTCTAATTACGCAGTCATGAATGGGTTGATGTAATTTTTACAATTATTACGTTATTGCAGTAGGTCTGATAACATTTAAATCTTCTATTTTTGTGTGAAAAAAATTTTCAAAATAAAAAAGCATGAGTAATTATCACAGGGACCTGGAGACATGACTGATGAACAAAGAAAATGTTATTTTAGAGCCAGGAATGTCTGCATTGTTCATTCTGGACCTTATTTTGAAATTGTCGTATTTTTTAATTTTCGTGAAATTGGCCAATTGCAAATTTCTGACCATGTTATTTGGGTAGTTGAAATCGGTAAATGGGCAGTTTTTGTACTCAATCGATAGAAAAAATAGAGTTCTGAAGAAATAGTTATGAGTTTGGTTGACTGGAATAAGGAATTAGCCGAAAATAGGGCTCAAAGTGGGCGAAATTGCCGATTTTTAAATATCGCCGAAGTCGCTAACTTCGCGAGAACGTAATTCCGTCAGTTTTCCATCAAATTTCGTTTTTTTGGTGTCTTTACAATCGGGAAAAGATTCTCTATCATTTCATAAGAAAAAATAATTTTTTTTTTTTTCGAATATTTTGCAACACCAGAAGCAACTTCAGGATTTGGCCCTTCGACAGTCAAAGGGTTAAGCTGTCCAAACGTAGATCTTTGTTCACTCATGTGGCACTCTGAATATAGTGGACCCCCGCATAACGATATTAATCCGTTCCTGAGAGCTCATTGTTATGCGAAATTATCGTTATGCGAATGAATTTTCCCTATAAGAAATAATGGAAATCAAATTAATCCGTGCAAGACACCCCAAAGTATGAAAAAAAAATTTTTTACCACATGAAATATTAATTTTAATACACACAAGCTGAAAAAGACATGCACAGTTACATGACACCTACCTTTATTGAAGATCTGGTGATGATTGATGGGATGGGAGGAGGAGAGTGTCTTAGTGTTTAGAAGGGGAATCCCCTTCCATTAAGACTTGGTGTCAAGTCCTTCTCTGGGGTTACTTCCCTTCTTCTTTTAATGCCACTAGGACCAGCTTCAGAGTCACTGGACTTCTGTCACACAACATGTCTGTCCATAGAGGCCTGTACCTCCCGTTCCTTTATAACTTTCCTAAAGTGGTTCACAACATTGTCAGTGTAATAGTCACCAGCACGGCTTGCAATAGCTGTGTTAGGGTGATTGTCATCAAAAAAGGTTTGCACTTTAAGCCACATTCCACACATTTCCTTAATCTTTGAAATAGGCAACTTCTTCAATTTCTCTCTCCCCTCCTCCGAAGCAGTTTCCTCAGGTCTGGCCTCTTTCTGTTGAAGTTGATCTAGCAGCTCATCAGTGGTTAGTTCTTCATTGTCTCCTCCACCAACTCTTCCCCATCATCCCCACTAACCTCCAACCCCAAGGACTTTCCCAATGCCACAATGGATTCCTCAACTGGCATAGGATTCCCAGGGTTAGCCTCAAACCCTTCAAAATCCCTTTGGTCTACACATTCTGGCCACAGTTTCTTCCAAGCAGAGTTCAAGGTCCTCTTAGTCACTCCCTCCCAAGCCTTACCTATAAGGTTTACACAATTGAGGATATTAAAGTGCTCTCTCCAAAACTCTCTTAGAGTCAATTGAGTTTCTGAGGTCACTGCAAAGCACTTTTCAAACAGAGCTTTTGTGTACAGTTTTTTGAAGTTTGCAATAACCTGCTGGTCCATGGGCTGCAGGAGAGGAGTGGTATTAGGAGGCAAAAACTTCACCTTAATGAAGCTCATGTCCCATAAGTCGCTCTGCCACGTCTGTAGGATGACCAGGGGCATTGTCTAACACAGGAGGCACTTAAGGTCTAATTTTTTTTCAGTTAGGTAATTTTTCACATTGGGGGCAAATGCTTGGTGTAACCAGTCATAGAAAAAGTCCCTAGTGACCCATGCCTTACTGTTTGCCCTCCACAGCACACACAAATTAGCCTTGAGGATATTCTTTTGCCTGAACGCTCTGGGAGTTTCTGAGTGATACACTAATAAAGGCTTCACTTTGCAATCACCATAGCATTGGAACACATCAACAGAGTAAGTCTGTCTTTCATAGGCTTATGTCCTGGGAGTGCCTTTTCTTCCTGAGTAATGTAGGTCCTGCTTGGCATTTTCTTCCAAAAAGGCCTGTTTCATCACAATTAAACACTTGTTCAGGTTTCAGTCCTTTTACTGCCTCTGTACTCCTTGAATTCCTGCACATATTTTTCAGCTGCTTTGTGGTCCGAACTGCAGCCTCACCATGCCTTATACACACTATGTATGCCACTACGCTTCTTAAATCTCTCAAACCAACCTTTGCTGGCCTTAAATTAACTCACATCATCACTAGTTGCAGCATTTTTTTAATTAATCCCCATTCAACTTCCTAGCCTTTTCACTTATAATCACTTGAGAGATGCTATCTCCTGCTATCTGTTTTTCATTTATCCACACCAATAAAGTCTCTCAACATCTTCCATCACTTGCGATCTCTGTTCGAAAACACAGTTGAACCTTTGGCAAGAACAGCTTCCTTGATTGCCGTTTTCTTGGACACAATAGTAGCGATGGTTGATGGGGTTTACTATACAACCTGGCCAGTCAGAGACACGCACTCACTTTCATACTTAGCAATGATCTCTTTTTCATCTCTATAGTAATTCTCACCCTTATTCCTGTAGGGTTGGCACTAGAAGCTTTCTTGGGGCCCATGGTCGCTTATTTTGCAGATAAAATCACCAAAAACACTGTAATAATACGAAATGTTCCATTGTATGCTTGGATGTTACCACAGAGGCTGGCTGGTAAACAATGCCACCGGCGGAACATGTGAGGCTGGCTCAGGCCGCACATTAGACGCGTCTTGGACGAATAGCGTTGAGCGGGTTTTTTAGCAGTATGCGAGGCAAAATCTTAGCGATAAAATGTATCGGTATGCGGATTTAACGTTATGTGATGCCAACGGTATGCGGGGGTCCACTGTATTTTGAAAAATAAAAAAATTTTTGTTTTTTTTTTCTTTTAAAATGAAGAGCACATTTTTCTACATGTTATAGGATTAAAAAAAAATTTTAGGGTCAGTACTTACCGAGATATAAGACCGTGAAGTTGGTTCTGGATGCTCACCTGTTGGCAACATCGACTCCTGCTGCTTGCAGAAGTGTTGCTGATATACCTTTTTTCCTGTTTTTATTTTAATTTATATATTTTTTATGTTCTGATAATTACAATTTATAATAGTTCTTGTAATTTCATAGCCAGTCTTTGTTCTGACACTAATATTAAGTACTGAAGTAGTGCTCAAATAGTCACAATCACATTGACAGGTGAACATTTACACCTGCTTGGGTTATTTACTAATGTCTAGAAATATATACAAAGTATTTATAGGTCCCAGCAATGTTTTAGATACCCTGGCATATACCTTGAAGC